AGAATCTATTGTTAGTCCCATGGGTCAGACACCATATGTGGCTAAAACGAGAGAGTTTAAAAAAAAAAAAAAAAAAAACACGTCCTGAAAACATTGTGCTATAGCTTCAAATCAATGAATTTTCTAAGTCTACTTTACTTCAGACTCTGTGTGTCACTGCACTGTGTTAATTAACACCTGCTCATGTGATGTTGGGGCCTGCTTCTATTCTCAGTCTGACCTACTTTGTGATTTTTTTTTTTTTTTTTAAGTTTTATTTATCCGTGGTGCTGCTAATGTGACCCAGCAGGATCGATATAATCGCCTTCATTGTCTCGGGACACGCGACACTTTGTTGTGAAAATACGCAGCATCCTGTGATTTCAAGCATCACTTATGCAATCAGGAGTTTTGTAAAGACTTGCCTATGCTGCTGCACTTGCACCAATACATTCAACCTAATACTTTGCATTCATTACACTGGATGTTCTTTAAATTTAACATATTAGTGTTGGGGGAAATTAAAAAACTCTTCTTCCTTTCTGACATTATTTGTTCATAACTTGAGAAAATATTTCAAACCTCATTGTTTAACTGAAATTAGACCGAAAAAGGATGGGGAAACACATTTGCACCCGATGATGTAAATGCGGATCGACTGGCAGCCCGCAGAGTTTCCCACTGCATATAGATATGCAGTAAAAGGTAGACAGGACTTCATGGTGCAATATCACGCTGCAAGATACATGAAAGAAAGCTCGATGTACATGCACCATTCAACACGCATACTGTCGCCATCATTAAATGCTGAGTTAATTCACCAAAGCAGCCAGGTGTAAAACCAACCGCAGAGGAGCAGGCACTGGGAAGCAAAAATAATAATTTACCCAAACCATAGGAGATGGTTACGAATGAAGGGCTGCTGCATAAAAGGGAAAAAAGCCTAAAACTTTTATAAGAAAGATGAAAATAATACTTATGCTTATTCAAATTCTTGCCTAGAGTTGGATGAGAAGATCAATACCGCTCTCATATCTGTCCGTCAAATAAAAAGCTACAGACAGGAGACAGTTTCCTTAGCTTGGCATACAGTTTGGAAACAGGCCGAAACAGCTGGTGAGAGAGACTTCCTGGAGTCTCGTCACAATGGGGGGTGGAAGCCTAGAGAAGCGAGTTCCTGACCTGGCTGGGGAAAAAGTGAAGTTTTCAACAACACTGCAGGTGCCCTTCTGTAAGACAATTAACCCGAGCTGCTTCAGTTGAGCTGCGCAGAGGCCAGCAGGTCACGCTGTGGTTTTACTGGGCGGCTTCCAGGTGTGAATGTGAGTGTGTAACTGTGTGAGAGTGATCAGGGCGTTCCTGTAATAGAGAGGTTGCCTGTCAGTGAAACTACCCTGAATAAATGAACGTTACAATGAGGTTACCAGACGAGGAATTCACTGCTTTCTGGCAAGAAATAGTTCCTTTACCTGCTTTCCACATTACTGCCTGTAAAACCCCTTTTTGTGCTGATTACACAAAGAAAATTTAACATGTTATTTGGGAGCTTTAGACGTGTTACAAGGAGAATTTTGTTACCTTTGGACAGAGCCAGGGTGACGTTTCCTACTTTTTTTTCTTTTTCTTTTTTTTTTTTTTGAGCTAAGCTAACCAGTTTCTGGCTGTGGCTTCATGTTTAATGAACAGAAACGAGAGATATCGCTCTTTGCGTTCAACTCTTGGCAAAAAAAACTGAATAAGCATATTTTCCAAAATGTCAAACTGGTGCTTTGATATCAATTCCCTACCCTTCTCTGAATATACTGAAACTACTACAGTAACATGGTTTAGTCATTTAACCTTATAGACAGTGGCCTACAGAAGAGGAATGGGCAGTTTGCAAATGTGAAACATGATAGCAAAAACTTATTATTATTGGATAAGATGCCAAATAAATTAATTAATATTTCCCCACTGCTTGCAGAACATTGCAGATTTTATTTTTCAATTCAGGCTAAGCATGCAATGTTTAAACACATCATGCTACAGTGCCACCAACCTCCTGTGAAGACTCCATGCTCATATGCATCACTGCAATAATCTACATGGACTGCAATGCTCGTTCACATGCTCAAAAGTGCATTAAACAGCTCCATACAGCCAGTTCTCACCATCCTCTTAAAATTCCCGTGTGGTTCCCCGAGGGTTTTTAGATAGGACAGCTAAACCAAATGCCACAGTGGATCTGATACAAAAATCCACATTCCACAAAGTGTGTTATCTTCTGGTAAAGTGGGACTTGTGGGCAAAATCAGTTTAAAGTCCTGCTGTCAATGTATGAAACAATTTGTAAAATATTCTGTTATATGGCTGCAAAGTGGACAAAGTGTAAAATTCCCTAATAGTCTCTACTTCCCAACTATATTCCCTGTCTGAAACCTCTTATACAGTGTTCTGAGGAAAATTACATGATACTGAGAACTCTCTACCTGCTCTCATATGACCCATAGGAGCGTGTAGGAGATTATGTCACATTATATCAGATAAACTGTTAAAAATCACTGCTGAGAATTAAATACCTAAACCTTTCATGATGTGACAATGGTACAGTAAAAGTTTGGTTAGGTTTACGCACAAAGAGGTTGGTTAGGTTTTTGGGAAAGATTATGGTTTGGGTTCATATAAGTACTTTGTTGGACCTTTCTTGTCCATAATAAACATGTTAAGGTTATAGAATGACTGTGGTCATGGTTACAGGAAACAACGCTAACTATTGGTTTGAAGTGGGAAGTACATAGCAGTCGTAATTACCATAGCCATAACAGGGCTTTTTCACTTGAACGTAAACATGTTGTTTTGTGGCTTTTGCTGAAAAGACTGATGCCATCGCACACGACCGCTTGATGTCTCTAAACAATACAACATACCTTTGGGTTGTAATAAGCTGCAGGCACAAACAACCTATGGGGTCATTTTTTAATAAGCACTCCTCATGGTGAAACTAAATAAAATGATTTGTTTTACACACTGATATAATTATCACTTAAGCGTCTAAGCTTGCTTCAAGCACAATGTATGTGACAAACCAATGGTGATCTACAGTTCAGTCTGTGGTAAAAGTGAATCAACACTTTTAAAAATGCAAGAATGAAAGCTGTACAATCTGCTGCTGGAAAGACTCCTGTAATTACCTTAGTCAGGGGCACTACACAAGGGAACAAAAAAAGCTGTCACCTGTTTTATTCCACTTCAACTGCAATCTGTTCAGTACTGTGACTTAATTTTCCTAAAAGAATTTTTTTTTCTTTGATTCATGTGCTCATTTTTACCTTTTTGATTTGTCAATCATAGTGAAACTACATAGGGCAACAGAATATTGTAACCTCCTACACCCACAAATTGCCATTACACTCTAGCGTATGCGACAGGCCTGTTACTTGACTGCAGTGTCGGACATCGGTCGGTCATCTCTGTGTGCCTGTCATCCAGGGTGTACGTCAGAACATGCTGGATGCGTGTTGCAGGACTGGGCTCACTGGCCAATCACAACCAATCTTTCAACCCTGAAACTGAATTTATTTCCCAGTTCAACCCTGCTTGACTGGAAAATCAATTTTACAGGATTATTCAATCAATGCTTTTTCACACCAATCCCCAGCCTGTCCAAAATATTATATCTATCCACAAGGATGTCAACAACTGAAGGTACCCTGTATGTTGGGAAAGGTGACGTTGGTTGACCCATGTATTCATGGCAAATGACAGCGATTATCACACCAAGTGGATAAAGCCATGAGGCAGCGGAAGGTGAATCAATGCAGTAAGAGGTGACTAGGCAGACAGTAGGGTGTGTGTGAGTGTGTGTGGTGGGGGGTTTGTGGGTAATGACTCTGCACCTGAGCCTATTAAAGAGATAACAGCCAGGGGCATGCTTACACTGTCATGCAGGACCATGACACTACAGTACATTACAGGGATTATTTTGTAGTGTTGTTTTGTGAGATCAATGCTGTAACAGTTTTTCTGAGTGTGTCAACAGCTTCATCAGTCTCCTGATTAAAACTGGAGTATAATGTGACAGTGTTGTTGTGATATGCTTTTCTCAGCTCTTAGCAAAGCTGCTGGCTGATACAGTTTGGGTTTGGATTGTCCTTCCAGCCAGCAGATTAAAGCTGTTCTGTTGAAATCAACAGGAAGTAAGTTGTTATTATAGCTGGGAACTACAGATGGTGCCAGTGACTTTTGACTGCTGGCTTTTTTTCTTTTTTTTATCAATGGGCTGACCAGCTTTGATGACAGGTTTGGGAAGATAAAGCTAGATTGAGCAAAACATTGGCGATGGGAGGAGACCTTGTGAGCTCAACTCTGCACCAGATAATGTGGGCAGAAAATGCTGCTACCTGGCTGACGGTCCTGGATGTTGCAGCATAAACTGAAGATTGTTTTATTGAGTGTTGAGCATGTCTACAAAATAAATTTTACAGCTGGCATTATAGCCACACAGCAAGTACTGCAATGCAATGTCACATTGTCCAACTTTGGGCAATTATCTGTTGGAACAATGATAATTCACTACCAAGCAACAAACTGGGCGAAGAACTGCACAATCAGCTGAGGTTTCAGTGCTTTTAGGTGGATTTGTTTTTTTGCTGTTTTTTTTGTTTTTATCAACAGCTCATTCTGATGCAGCTGCTCCAGTGGCAAGAGGTGTAATGATCATTGAGAAATCACTGTCATCACTGCTTTACAGAAGAAGAATAGGCCTTTGAAAAAATCATCCAATTACAAATGAAAATTTGTAAGATGGTAAATGAAGTTATTCATTTACTGCTAGCTTATACTCCTGAAGAAGTCCTTAAACTAGAACTAAAAATCTTTTTTTTTTTTTACCTTTACCTTAAATCACATCTTTATATTATGTGCATTTGCAAAATGAATCTCCCTTTTTCAAAAAAAAAAAAAAAATTTTGTAAGAAATCGCCAACGATTTTCCAAACAAATGCATGTTAAAGAACTTTTGCCATGGAAGTCAAATGTCTTACTGGTTGTGTTGTACTTCACCCCATTGATGTACTCAGGGCACGGTCTCTCTACAATCCTCCCGGTGCTGCTCCGTGGCCAGCAGGTTCCAATCTCATCGGTTGTGGCATTACAATATAAACCTTGAAAATAAATAAAGTAAAATACAAAAAAAAGCGGACGCTTATAGTTTTCCTTTTCCAAAACACCTTTCAATACTGAACTAGAAAAAAAAGGAAGCAATTCCATCTTACCATCAGTGCTCAGGAAAGACAATGAAGCGTTTTCCAAAAAAGTGTCTTGGAAAGCATCAATCAAACTACAGTTTAGGTCCCCGAGCTCTCCAAGTATGATCTGATAAATGGTAGCGTCCATGGTGCGAGCTTTAAATGATGTCAGATTTATTCCAAGTGCGGGAGGAGATGCTTGCACCGAGCCCAGCGGTGTTCTGTGGGCTTGTGAATCGGAGCAACAGAGATGCAAAGTCGAGAGCTCAGCGCTCCTGCTGGGGGGAGCGCGCGCCTGGCCAATCAGAGCTGATCCGTCATCCGCGCATCCGTCCACGTGCTGCAAGCAGCAATCCAGTGAAACTCAGTCGACACACCGCACTGACCTGACCGTGGGCTTTGTCGCTCTGACATTTCACACCTGCCACCCGCCTGTCATGTTTATTTATGAGGGGAAAGTCGCCTGCAGTGACACGGAAATGAATGAATGAGGGGAGAGACGTTACAAATGTGCGCGGCGCGTACCTGTTGATGTATGTGGATGGAGCCTGAATGTGAAGTGTAGCTATAAGTTCACGTGCAAAGGAGAAGAAGGGGATAATGTAGGCCATTGTATTAAATAAAAAAAAATAAAAAAAAATAAAATAAAAGTGATTTCATATTGTAGTTATTAGCAACCCCAAAGATTATATAGACATTGGTTAATGATTTCCATCATAAAGGTACTTCTATAATATCTTACTTTTGAGGTGAAAGGTAGCTTACATAATGAAACATGTACACTGCTTTGATGACTGATAGGATTTTTGAACAATTTCTGGCTCATACCTATCAGCAGTACTGGAACACAAACAAATAAATTTAGTGTGACTGCCCTAGCTCAGTATGATACCACACTTGGTGCTCCGTTGTCTTTCTGTGGAGCAAAGCTGGATTTGACACTTCACTGACTATAGATTTACAAAGAATGAGAGTTCCTAAAATACATGGCTTTCACCTTTAACATAATAGGCCCTTTTGTTATTTTAAATGTAAAAATATGTATGACCACAATGGAAAATTAGCATATAGTCCAGTACTCCCAACACTTAACATTTTCCAAAACACTGCATATTAGAGTGAGGATGAGTGACTCTCCTCCCATAACAATCGACAGCTGTGTTCACCTGAGTGCAGGTTTAGTGTCAGTGTGTGTCATGAAAACGAAAACCTTTTCACGGTACAGTCGAATGCAACACATTAGTCAGTTGATACAAACACTTGTCAGTGTAGCCAGACATTTAGACATTTGCTGTGTGAACTTGAACTTAAGTTCAGTTTGTGACATTAACAAATTGACCTTTACTCAGCTTCTCTAAACTGGCTATTTCCAGCTGTTTCTGCAAAAAAAACAAAAAAACAACGCTATACGTTGCGTCAAAACAAAATTGGGATGGCAGTTAGAAATGTGGACTGGCAAAAAAGTTATATTCTTTGTTTTAATGTTTTAAGTCCTGATAAATATAACAACAGCCATAATATTCAGAAAGACAACTCTAAAACTTTAAAGTGCCCAATGAAAAGTGTCTAGACTAAACATGTGCCTTATAACTGAGTCTAATATCTTGGCTGTTTACCTGTTAAATTTGAGACGTGACCTTTTCGCCAGCGTGCGGCTCTCTCTCTCTCTCTCTCTCTCTCTCTCTCTCTCTGAGCTCCCTCTGAGCTTCCGCATCTAGCACTCATGCACTCATCATTTTACCGCCTTGTGCTTTCACATCACGTACACGCAGATCTGTAACACACAGTCGGCCTACACAAGTCCAGCATTTGAATGTCGACTTGACTGTGTGATGAACAATGTTATAATTGCCCCCAACTATAAATAGTACACCAAAAAGTTAATGAATTCTTCCACAGCAGCCGCTCTGTGCTCCATTGCATTCAGTGATGAGAAGAGTGGCATGTTGGTATTGTTATTTATTGTTTTAAATTTGGTTGTTGGTGATGGAAAAAGCATTTTCCAGTGTGAAAAGAATATTTCTATGTTGTCTTGTTTTGTTGTCGCACAGTACATCTGAGAGTATGACTCATGCATGTAAAATTGGGCAGAACACATCCTTCCCCTGAAGACAGTGTAAAAGTCAAAGTTAGTTTAAGTACCAGTATAACATGTTGCTGTCTAATGAACCATATGAAAATGATTAGGGTTTTTAATATTCAGTAAAACAACCACATTCCCAATAAAGCTGTTCTCATTTACATGTTTTTCTGTTTCTATTGTCAGACAATGGAACAAGTATGAAATAGTGACTTAAATTTGGCTCATTAAAACTGCATGTTTTATACCAGCAGTCACTCCCGAGCTATTTCAAAGCTGCTGCTTTGCTGCTACTAAAATCCTGATTTTATAACAGCAGCGTCGTCCGACAAAATGACAATATACATAAGTGAAGGAACAGTTTAACAGCTTACGGCTATATTTACCTGTATGACGGTAACTCAGAGAGAAACTTAGAAGCTGATTCACACTCGGCTGACCAGTGGTATAACTCATCACTCCATCACGCGGCATTCAGCTGACCAATAGTGTAATTTCATCACCCAGTCTATCAGGGATATTCTTGTAGAGCTGGCCCCACTGTTACATAACCCTTCCTCTTTTCTCACCCACCCTCTTCCCCAAGTCCCCAGAATGTATCAACTGAATTACATTAAGTTTTCTATATGTCAGCCCTGTGGTAGACTGGAGACCTTTCCAGGATGTACCCCGCCCTTGGCCAATGTCAGCTGGGACTGCCTCCAGCCTGCTGCGACTCTGAAAGGATAAGCTAATGAATGAATTATTTTAAGTGGAACAGCCAGACAAAAAATAACTACGAAAAATTGAATTCAAAATGCATTCTTTAAATTGGATTCAGACAATGATGCTACAAATACTACAAACACTACAAATTTAAATTTAACATAGATCTTATATACCTTGCTGATGAACTGAATCCTGTACTGATCAATCTATACTTGTTGCAAAATTACCATATGAACTTGTTTTGAACTCAACAATGCACTCCTGTGGGCTTACCATAGCAAGACTTAAAGGAATTATAAATCACAAATGATGAGGATCTGCTTGAAGCACATTTGTTAAATAATGTGTAATCCATCATGTTGCCTTGGATCTCAGCTCAGCAAATGTTAGTAACTTTAGGAGAAATAGAATAATATAATATTCTCTTCTACCTAAATGACATTACATGACACATACAGAATGTTTTCATGCATTCAGTAATCTGTACACTGTTTGAACAACAGTGTGTTGACTCTGAGCTTAGATAGGGGACATTTCATCAGAGTTGCATGGCCCCAAAGCTTGCAACCATGAGCCTCAGATCAAGGAGCCTAAGTGTCCTGAGACCCAAAAGGCCTTTAAGCCAAATCCCACATAACTCAGCTCAACCATGGATTGTGTGTTGATTTATAAAAGTGTGTTGATTTTACATGGGATTGCTCTGGTGATTCAGAGCAGTAGGGTGCTTAATGACTCAGGGTTCTATTTGGTAATGTAAGTATGGGTTTCAGATGAGAAGCCAGTTTCATCTGGCATAAGGATGGTTTGTCAGATGCACAGTGGGCCGTAGAGCCGAAATGTAACTACTGATTATTGCTGCTTTTTTACTTGCTTTTTGAGCATTTTAATATTGTTCCAAAGCAAATGAATAACTCTGAATTCTTGTTAGTTTTTTATCAGTTTAGAAGCCCTTTGAAGAAAATCCTTTTTTCATTTTGAATTTAGTTGTTTCTACAAGTGAGCTGTTTTGCTAAATGAAAAAAAAAGGGTTTTTTTGGCATTTGGCTGACAAAGGCAGAGCCAAATCCAAAAGAAGGAGAGAATCTGCAGGCTGACTATGTGTCAAAAGATCATGGAGGTGTGGCTCAGAGCAAGGGCACAGCAGGGGGAGAGTTACTACAGAAAGACAACAGGAGGGGGTGGAACACAAAGTGCCCCTTGGAGCGCTTAAAGTACCTTGTGGGTTCAGAACAATTCAGTAAATGAGACACAGCAAAACAATACCACTGGCTAAGCTCACAGTGATAACATATCGTGTAAAATATAAAAAGCCAATAGCACCTATACATTATATCTACAGCAAACAGGGCAGGATTTGATTAGGCTTTAACATGATTCCATACAGTATAGAAGGGCAGAATGATCTCATGAGTCAGCCTGAGAAGCTCTGCATCACTGCGGGGTTTAGTATGAGCTACTTACTGCACTCAGTGGAATGACAGCTGCCGAATAAATATCCCTCTTGCACAGTGGTGCAGGCCTCAAGGTGACTTAATCGGAGCTTAAAGCCGCCTGACAGTGCAGCTCGGCAGTCGCACACTGAGCCCTGCCCAGGTGGCGCGAGTGCTAAGCCCCGCTCATTGTAGCCGTTTGACTCCCAGTTCATTCGGCTGAGGATGTGAATAGTCGGAGTACAGTCAGCTTATGTCCTGCCGCTGCCAGCCACGACTCACTCTGCTGAGTCATTGCACCACAAAACACTAGAATGGCATGTACAGCCCATGCCTCATGGAGGAAAAACCTTTTGACCATCACGTTCTGACTAAACTGCCAACTGACATAAAGCTGTTGTTAAAGCCTCCAGTTCATTGCATGGTTTAAAAAGACATTGGTTTTAAAAAGCTGTAAATGACCTCTCTGGGGGTTGAGCCCAGGCAACCATACTGCAATTAATATGCTAAAATAAATGAGCTGTTGTCAGTGGTATCTGCCTACAGTACATCGCACTGCATTCTCTGCTTCCATGCCGAACCATGATGAATGCAGCGTGTTATCACGAGCGGGGAACTGCCCATGCATTATGAAGGGTAAATGGAAAAATCCCACATCGTTTGCCAAAGCAGATCATTGTGGTGGGCTGAGCTCAAACTGAGATGTTGCACATCCTGCTGGTTCAACGTAGATAAACGTACAGGTTTGTACCGTTGATGCTTTGTGACTCATATCTCTTGCCGTGTTGTACGCTATATTTTCACCTGGCCACATTATGAATAACAACTGTGAATGCAAATGAATTGTGTTAGTATATTTACATTTAAAAAGGAAAATATGTCGCCGGCCTGAATTCTATAAGAAAGCATTAACAGAGGTGATTGCTGAAA